CCCTAAATGCCACCGGAAAAGATGCCTTTAGTTTGTGCAATGTGTGTTTTTCTAACCTTAATTTCATTTTTTTTTCTTCATATATATCCTTACTATTGCAAAATTCAGTGACGTTAATGAATTTGATGCTACGTATCGTCACCCAATGCATGTTATCAAAAAATCAAAAACAAAACAGATATACTAGTTGAAATAACAGAGATACGCACATAGTCGTTTTAACGTGTACGTAATAAAAAAAATGTAGGCCTAATGTTTATCTCTCTGCCCCCCCCCCCCCCGACCCATTTTACCATTTCACTTCCGGAAACGCCAAGGCATAAACAAGAAGAAGAAAATGCGTGGTAATGAGATAAATGAATAGTTTAAATATTTGAAATATATATGATGTATATGTTTATCTATTCATTCATCTCTATTTATCTAATAACCTATATTTATATGTGCAGAGAGAGAGAAAGATGAGAAAAAGGTAGAAAAAGGCGTAAATAGATGAATGTAATAAAAAAACACTAAGGCAACCAATTTGACAATCGACTACTTAAAAAGAACACTTGGATTTCATGCAAATTTTCCTCCCATAATTTGACGCTAATAGTGATGAAATTGGGAATAATGAAAAAATAGAGAGAGAGAAGAAAGAGAGGAGAGAGAGAGGAGAGAAGAGAGAGAGATAAGAGAGAGAGAGAGAGGGAGAAGCAGAGAGAGAGAGAGAGACGAAAAGATAGTTACATAAGGCAAATTGTGTAAAATACACCGAAATGTGGAAGATTTAGACTGAAATTATGATTGCCAGAACAACAGTTAAGATAGTTTCAAGAAAAGGTAGTTCTCTATTTGTACGAGATGTTAAGTGCTTTGCTAAACTGATTCTTTTGTATAAGTGATTTATAAAGCTTAAAAGGCTGAAAAGGCAATTTTGGTCGTCTCGGTGCAGTCTTCATTCTGTTCATATTTTTATAGATTTATTTTCTGTCTTTGTCTGTTCGTTTCTTTCTATATATCTGTCCTTCTGTTAGTCTCTCTCTCTCTCTCTCTCTCTCTCTCTCTCTCTCTTCTCTCTCTCTCTCTCTCTCTCTCTCTCTCTCATCATCTCTTCTCTCCCCTCTCATCGGTCTCCTATCTCAAGTCTCCTCTCTCTCTCTTCTTCCACTTTCACATCCTTTATTCATTAAATTTTTTTATACTTGGTTTGTAACTGTTCTTCGTCTGTCTGTCCCTCATTTTCTCTCTCCTCCGTACCCAAACCACCTTTTTTGCTTGATCGATAGTAAATAATAGTAGTAGTGGTATTGACAGTGGTGGTGGTAGTAGTAATAGTAGTAGTAGTAACAGCAGCAGTAGTAGTCGTAGTAGTAGTAACACACCAGCACCGCAGTAACTAGTATTAGTACGTCGACGTAGTAGTAGTAGTAGTAGTAAGTAGTAAAGCATCAGCAGTAGTAGTAGTAGTAGTAGTCGTAGTAGTAGTAGTAATAGTAATAGTGGTAGTGGTGGTTATAGCTGTAGTAGTTGTTGCAGTTGCAGATGTAATGATAGTGGCAGTTGCAGAAGTAGTAGCAGCAGAAACAGCAATACTAGTTGTAACAATAACAAAAGCAGCAGCAGGAATATCAATATCATTATGAGTAGTAGTGTCAGGAGGAGGAGGAGAAGGAGAAAGGATAGGAAGGGGAGACATGAATATCAATTAATCATTATTATTAAGTAGTGGAGAAGAGGGGAGAAGGAGAAGGGGAGAAAAGAGAAGAAGGGAAGAAGGAAAGAGGTAAGAAGAAGATTAAGAGAAGGAAAGGAGAGAGGAGTTAGATAGATAAAGAATATTTCTACACCATTATTCTCCATGGTCGCAACCATAATCACAGCCAATTATGTTATTACCATTGCAGCTTCCATGGGTGATTTTCAATTATTCCCATCCTATGCTGACCATCGAATCACTTGGAAATGCAGCATATAATCTTATCCTGCGGGGTTTAGCATTACTCTTCCTTACTCTAATATTTTGATACTTTTCAACCTTAGATGATGTCTGGAAAGGTCACGGGTTTGGTAACTGTCTTGTTAGAAAGGTAATTTGTGAAAACTGCGGATTGTCGCTTATTTGTAAAAATTAGTGTTGTTTTCCAAGTTATTTGCTTCACTCTATTCGGTTTGTATCTTTCTCTGTTTGGTGTTGTATTTCTGTCTTCTCGCTCTTCCTTCTCTCTTCTCTCTCTCTCCCTCCTCTCTCTCTTCGGTCCTCCTCTCTCTCTCTCTCTCTCTTCATCTCTCTTCTCATTCTCTAAAGATAATGTTTGAAAAATCACCAATTTTTCTCCTTACTTTAATTAGTTATTAATTTTAATCATTCATCAATTATTATTATTATTTAATCATTATGATTATTAATTATTATTATTTTCTCATTTCTTTCTTATCGACGCTATTTTCGTGTCAAAGCCAAAAATGAAAGATATATGCTTTATCTATACAAGACAGTTATGGTAATTGTCATTGCATAAATAATGTAATATATTTTAAATGCAACAAATTACGTTTTAAGATAAGAGCATTATTAAGTCTAAATCTGAATAATTTAGTAGAGAAAGAGTGAGTGTGTGTTGAAGAGAGAGAAAGAGTATGAGAGAACGAGGAAAGAACGAAATTAAATTCTACACTTAATTTAAACGCATGGCATCTCCACTCCAATTAAGTCTACCCTTAATTTTACGCATTGGCATCTCCTCCGATCACTGTGTGATTGAAGTTCACAGTTCCATGAGGTTCGTGGTGTGAACACAAGCCAAGGAAAATTATTCTTGATCAATATTAATAACATCGCATTTATTTCTTTAATTACATGTTATTTTTTTTCTCTTTCGCTCTCTCACCCTCTCTTTCAATTTGTTCACTCTCCTTAAATCTCTCTCTCTTGCTCACTCTTTTTGAATCTCACTCTCTCTCTCTCTTATTTCTGCGCACTCCTTATAAGTAAATCGCTCTCTCTCTCTCTTATTTTTTTGACCGCACTCCCTAATATGTAATACGCACTCATCCCCATCTCTCTCTCTCTCTAATCTACTTCTCTCCTCTCTCTCTTCGCTCATACTCCCTCCATGTGTCGAGAATTAGGACTCGGTATGATCACCCATGCTTTGAGGAACTCAGATTCTGCGACTCGTAAGTGTAATATGAGACACCATGTATTTAATCTCAACACGAACTAGTGTGATCTCTCTCTCTCTCTCTCTCTCTGTCTCTCTCATATCTCTCTCTCTCGTTCTTCTATGGCGTCTACCTCTTGTAAGTCTCTCTCTAATCAGATTGTCTTAGAGTCTATCCATGAGGTACTAGTATTCTCTCAGTCTCTCTCTCGCCTCGCCTTGCTTTTGCGTCACTCCCCTTATATGTTAAACTCTCTCTCATCTCCTTCTCTCAATCTCTCTCATCTGCTCTTCTCTCTCGGCTCTCTCTCGGAAGTGATAAGATTGAGTCACATCACGTTCATATCAGAGGTCTCTGCTGGTTACTCAATAATCTATATATTAAAAAAGCAGAGCGGTCTATGACTCTAGGATTACTGGATGGAGTCCACAGCATAATTAGTGGAGGTCGAGCGCACTTACTAGCATCTTTCCTTCATGTCCACTTTCCAAATAGCTTCCATTTTTTTTCTGCTTATTTATCATGTCCATTTATTCCGGGACCCATTATATAACGCTTGACGGGGATGGAGGAGAGGCGTGCGGTTGGGCGGGGTGCGGAGGGTAATTCCCAGCCGTTATTTCTTTCGAGAGAATTCTATAGACACAAATCCTTAATTGCGTATACAGTAGACCAACAGACATAGAAAGCATGAGAGGGAAAAGAGAGATAGGCATAAGGGGCATTAAAGATAGGAGGGAGCAGGAGAAGAAAGGTTAATGTGACAGAATCATACAAGATTTACCGCACCGGACTCTACTAGCGGACGTCGGTTTATTATAAATTGAAAGTAAGGCGTGGAAGGAGCCGGAGAAAGAGATACGGAAGAGGAGGAGAGAAAGAAAGGAGTGAGAATGAGAGGGGAGGAGAAGAATAGCAGGGAATAGAAAACGGTGAGAGACAGAATTTGGATTAACGCAATATTTACCACATACGTATAGGAGTGGAATGGGTGAGAGGATGCTATTATTCTTTCGTAATTGTATATAAATGTGAAAGAGAGAGTAAACGAGAGAGAGCCACGAGATGATAGCGTTGATCACGAGTAACCCCCGCGGTTAAATATTTACATATTAGTGTTTTGTTTGAGTATCGCAATATACTTCAACGACAGTGCCATATAGAATGAGTACCACCAGCTGCTGATCATTGTGTTTAAGTATCTCAATAGGAGGTTAATTATGAGAAGTCGCACGACACACTGACATATCCGCACGGATATTCATTGACTAAAGAGGTACTGATCGCGTAGAGAGCTAAAATAAGCTGCTAAGTACAGATGACACGCGAGTTGTGTGGGCGGACGCATAACAGAATCATGTCACCAGTTTCCCTTTTTCAAATCGAAACTTTGGTTTCTATAAACTATCAAGTAGCTTTCTTAACAATTATAGTATATATTTATCATAGTCAAATTTATCCTTAGAACATAATTTTCCTCAAAGCAACGATTGATAAGAGAAATATATATCGTATCACCCTTATACATGACATCGAAAAAAATATATATGAAAAAAAAAACTCAATGATTTAATCAACGTGTCCGATTCTGCCGGATGACCTTTCCCTTGGACACTCATCTGGCAACACTGACACATTTCCTTGCAAGGTGAAAATCAACACCGTTAGTTACTCATCCTTCCTAGACGTCATTACCTCTCCTTATCCGTATCCTGGACTAAATTACTTGACCATGAAAAATAAAGAACAAAGAGAAATCGAATTAGGGAAATATTTGAGAAGGAAAGTGATGCTAGCGACATCTGGCAACCGAGGCGAGTGAGCAGGTACGCCGAAATCTCCCAAGTTGATTCAGTAGAGCGCGAGACACGAAAGCTAAAGGTCGGTGTCAGAAAAACTTGAAAAACGCCCTTGCATTTGTTGCTCTTTTGTTGTATTTTTAAAGAATAGTTCATAGGTGTTTGTATTTCTTTTTGTGAATTACCGTTATCTGTTGAATAAGGTAAGTGTGTGAGCTCACTGTCAGTATGTGTTATGCTATGATAAGTTATGACCTGCGCATTACATAAACAAAATGTAAAATAGGAAAAAAACTCAATGAGAGGATTTAATAGACAATAATTGAGATAGAAGGAGACTAAAATATCCTAAGTAAATAACAAAATCACGTGTCGATAGAGACGAAACGTCAAAACCAAAATATTAAAAGTTTCTTCTCCCGATGAGGATATTCGCCTCTCTCGAAACGTCACGCTGGTCCTTATTATAGGCAATTGTCGCCAAGCAAGTGTGTCCATTATAAAGAAAATAAGCATATAGCTAGAGTAATATGGGAAGGGTAAAGACTTAGAATCAATAGAAATAATGAATAGAAAACTTTGTTCTCTCTCTCTTCTCTCTCTCTCTCTCTCTCTCTCTCTCTCTCTCTCTCTCTCTCCTCTCTCTCTCTCTCTCCTCTCTCTCTTCTCTCTCTCTCTCTCTCTTCTCATCTTTAAATTTATTAATTTTATCTCACTGCTGTAAATTATTGTAAGTAGAGACTTGCTACGTTCATGCGTTCATAGTAGTTTCCCCAATTCTTTCACAAATAGAAATAAAAGGAGAATTTGATAAAAGAAAAAAAAAGTCCTTTTTGGTATCTCCTTATCGCCTCGCCATGTCGAATCTGCGTCACTCATGGAGGTTGGTTATGGATGTCACTTCCTTCGCTGCGTGTTTTGAATTCTTGTCTTTCGTTATATCGCTTATTTCTGGTCAAACTCTGCATCTCTCTCTCTCTCTTTCTTCTCTCTCTCTCTCTATTTCTTTCTCTCTCTCTCTCTATTTCTTCTCTCTCTCTCTTCTCTCTTCTCCTCCGTTCCCTCCTCGTCCTCTTTTCTTCTCTCTCGCTCTCTGTCTTCTTCTCTCTCTCCTCTTTCTTCTCTCTCTCTTTCCTTTTCTCTCTCTTTCTTTCTTTCTCTCCTTCTCTCTCTCTCCACTCTCGTCTCTCGTCTCTCCCTCTCTCTCCTCTCTCTCCTCTCTCTCTGCTCGTCTCCTCTCTCCCTACCTCTCCTCTCGTCCCTCTCTCCTCATTCTTTCTCTCTCCTCTCTCTCTCTTCTCTCTCGCTCTCTCTCTTTCCTTCTCTCCTTCTCCTCTTCTCTCTCTCCTCTCTCTCTTTCTCTCCTTCTCTCTCTCTCTCCTCTCTCCTCTCTCTCTCTCTCTCTCTCTCTCATCTCCTCTCTCTCTCCCTGTCTCGTTCTCTATTTTATGGATTTATTAATTTAACATCTTCACTGCTTGTAGATCATTGTAAGCAGAGACGTACGAAGTCGCTGCGTTCATAGTAGTTCGCGGAATTCTTCAGCAAATAGAAAAAAAGGAGAATTGAATAAAGAAAAAAAAAAGCCTTTTGTCATCTCCCTTATCGCCCCGCCATGCGAATCATGCGTCTCACTGGACGTTGTTCATGGATGTTCACTTCCTCGCGCGGTTCTTGATTCTTTTTCTTTCGTTATATCGCTATTTTCTGATCGCAAAACTGCTGCATCTCTCTCTCTCTCTCTCTCTCTCTCTCTCTCTCTCTCTCTCTCTGACTCTCTCTCTCTTCTCTCTCGTCTA